CTTCCCCCGTGGAGCTCTCCAGAAGCAGAGATGATTGTGCTCAGTGGGAAAAGCAGCTACTCCTCCAGCACTGCCCTCCCACCCAACCCCTGGCATCGGGGGGGAGATGGGCAATTTGCAGAACTGGGTCCTTGCTTTGGTTCTTCTCGACCTTCTCCCTCCCCACGTCCTCCCCACCCTCCCTTGGACACACACACACACACGTGGATGGAAAGACCGAGGACAACACAGCCATTAGGTTATTAGAAGCCTGGCTCCCCGCTACTCTAAATGCAGGCGCATGAAGCAGCAGGATTCTGCTGGTGACATTTGGACCACAAATGAAGTCCCCAAGAGCAATAAACAATCAGGTAAAGAAATCTGGAAAGAAATTACCCAGCACACCTCATCTTCTCGGCCCCCATGAGATCCATATAAAATGTGTTAATGCATCTGATTATGATCTAAATTATGTACAGAGGCTCCTGCCAAGCACTCTGTGAAGTTTCTTTATTGTTAAGCTGAAAGCTGTTTAAGAACGGTCCAGTCATCACGTTTCAAATTAGATTTGGGGAAAAAACATTTTCCTACTTTATTGCTGGCTCAGAACGGGGGTTTGCGGGAGAAGGTCGATGTGTGGTTTCTCTCTGCTGAAGAAAGAGCAGGAGAAGTGGTGACAGAGCATAAGAAGACTCAGCCCGTTGCTCATCCTTCTCTCCCAACCTGAGCTGCGTGGATTTACTGCACACAGACCTGCCAGAAAATGACTACAGTTTTCCCTGGCTTTCTAGATGGGGATTTCTTTTTCCCAAAAAGAGGGGTATAATAAACAGCAAGGTGTTCTCAGGCACACGGAGCGGGACCAGAGGAGGCCCCGGAGATGCTGGGAGGGCTGGAGCCCCTCTGCTGGGAGGGGGGGCTGAGAGAGTTGGGGGGGGTCAGCCTGGAGAAGAGAAGGCTCCGGGGAGACCTTGGAGCCCCTGCCAGTCCCTCAAGAAGGGGGGCTCCAGGAGAGATGGAGAGGGACTCTGGATGAGGGAGGGGAGCCACAGGAGAAGAGGGAATGTTTTTAAACTAAAAAAGGGTAGATTCAGGCTAGATATAATGAAGAACTTCTTTGCTGTGAGGGTGGTGAGAGCCTGGCCCAGGTTGCCCCAAGAAGCTGTGGCTGCCCCATCCCTGGAGGGGTTCAAGGGCAGGTTGGAGGGGGCTTGGAGCAACCTGGTGTGGTGGGAGGTGTCCCTGCCCAGGGCAGGGGGTGGAACTCAATGGCCTTTAAAGCTCCCATCCAACCCAAACCATTCTGTGATTCCGTGATTCTATCACTGCCAGCAAATCACCGTGTTCCTTTGAGCCAGGTAAGAAAGCTGCTTTTCTCCCCAGTAGATTGTACCAACCTTGGCGCTTTTAAAAAAAAAAAAAACTGAGGAAAAAAAAGTAGATACAGACCTGCCAAGTGTCTATTCGAACATACAAGTTCAGGAGAGCACCCCCAGTTTCACACAGCAGCCCTGACAACCCCACTTGTAGTTAAAACCCCCCCTAACCCAAGCTGTGTTTTATATCTCCTGCTGGCACCCGGCCGAGCCCTCACTGTGCTGCTCAGCATCTCCTCCCACCGCATTGCTGGCTTCCCCAGGCCGCAGCGGAGCCAAGGTCACCTTGCTCACAAGAGCCGTTCTTTCAAAAGGTGGTTCCCCATATGTTAAAGGTCTCCCATCTATCACCTCTGCCCTTCCAAACACACAGCTCTAGCAACAACTGCATACATTTGGACTAAGCAGGGCCCTAGAGAAGATAGTTAGCATATAAAAGTGCTATATTTTGCTTTTATTTTGCTCTATATATGCATATAAATACATATATATATATATGTATGCCAGGCAACTGCCTGCACCTCCTCATATATGCATATAAATACGTATATATATATCCATGTATGCCAGGCAACTGCCTGCACCTCCTCTCCGGGTGCACAGCTCAGCTTTGCATAGAATCATAGAATGGTTTGGGTTGGAAGGGACCTCAAGGATCATCTAGTTCCAACCCCCCTGCCCTGGGCAGGGACACCTACCTCCAGACCAGGTTGCTCAAGGCCACATCCAGCCTGGCCTTGACCCCCTCCAGGGATGGGGCAGCCACAGCTTCTCTGGGCAACCTGTTCCAGTGTCTCACCACCCTCATCGTAAAAAATTTCTTCCTGAGATCTAATCTGAATCTTTTTTCTTCCAATTTAACCCCGTTTTCCCTTGTCCTATCATTACACTTCCTGGCAAAGAGTCCTTCTCCAGCTCTTCTATAGGCACCCTTCAGGTATTGAAAGGCCACTATAAGGTCTCCCTGGAGCCTTCTCTTCTCCAGGCTGAACAATCCCAGCTCCCTCTAGGGCTCTAGGGCTTTATAGGGCTTAATACATTATATTCATCACTATGGTGTCCAGCATTTTCTTTATAGGGCTTAATACTTTATATTCATCACTATGGTGTCCAGCATTTTAAGGTATCAACTCCACCCAACCCCTCCAGTATGTCCAGACGGTCATCTGAGATGCACAACAACTGTTGGACGCATTTGATATCGCTCCCCAGGATGACGTTAGAAGTTAAGCATCAGAAATCCACATTTAAGGGCAAGCCTCTTGGCTCAGTGTGTGCTGGAGCCCACGTTTCTGCAGCTCCACTTCCACCTCCAAATACCCTGAGCCAGGCAGCAAGAAAAACAAAACGCAGAGATGGAGGCAGATACTGAGCCTGAAGGTTGAACTGAGACATCCTTAGCCTATCTTTTAACATTTATTCCTGAAAACATCAACTAGGCTACAAGGCAATTATGCCAGTGACCAAAAACTTCCCACCTGTGGTGAAATTCAGCACAGACACAAAGACCCAACTGGGGAATTAGGGACGCAAAAACTCTGCCTGAGCCGGACCTTGTTATCAGCAGATCTGCAGGACATTAGGGATCAGAACCACCATTTCTAGCCACCACGGCAACGGAGCGGTTTGATCACCCCCAAAAATGCTTTAATGTAGGATCACAGGCTGGATCCCAGCCAGCCAACAGCACTGCTTTCAAAGGAAGTATTTATCTCTACGAAACACTTACTCAACAAGGTGCTTGAAAATAAAGCCTTCGCTAAACAACCAGATTTTAACCTGAAATCCTGCACGTTGGCATTCTCTTCTGCTGCAGGTAAGACCGATTCCCTTACACAGCATGCTGATTTTTTTCTCTTTTTCTCTTTTTAAGAAAAAAATAAAAAGAGACTTTTCTCTTTCAGTTTAACTTTGAGGCAAGACGGAAGACCACAGCCTGGCCTCAAAGACACGAGATCTTTTGAACTCCAAGTCAGCAGGCTCTCACAGGAGCTGAGCTCGAGGGCTGCTCTGGAATAAATCAAAAAGGATTTACTCTTTCACTTGACTAAGGCAGAAAAAAACCCACCCTTAGATCTAGAGATATGCGGTTGGGGGTGGGGAGACAGCTAACAGGTTCAAATAAAGTAAATAAATAAAAAAGCAACTTAAGAGTGCCATTATGGCTTGGTTGCCATGATCCCATAAACTAAATGCCATCCTGCATGGTTGGATTTCCTGGAGGAAATCACCAGCGCCGTTGCTGAGTCTGCTGGAAGCGGTTCAGCCCATGAATTTCGGGAGCAGATGCTCCAAACGTGACACACAAGGACACAGGGCTCCTGGAGGAATCTCTTGACAGCAAATCAAAACAGGGGCTTGAACTGGTCGTGTGTCATTAGAGACGCAGCTGTGAGCTTTTCACAGATTAGTAGAGTTCAAGGCCAAAAGGGACCTTGAGAGCACCTTGTCTGCCTCTTGCTGCTTCACAGGCCATTACGCTTCAGCCAAGTTTTCCGAAGAGCAGGAGTCAGATCTGGCAGCCAAATCCTGACTTGAATAACTCTGGCAGCTCCCAGGAATAATCCACGTGCTACTTCCACTCGAAAACTCAGGCTGCTGGAGCAGCCTCCCATAGGATGCAACTGCCTCTTGGTGCCTTTGGGTCCCTCTGCCCGAAAATGCCGCTCCCCGGCAGGGGCAGAAGCAAAGCTCCCTTCTTTTCATGGTCAAGTAAAGGAACAGTGAGCTGGGGGAAGCTGGTAAAAGTTGGGCAGCACTGGTACGGTGCCACCCATGGGGTCTTAATCAATCCCTTTGCATATTTTTGGCCGATTTAGATGAGGCTGGAGTCAGTGCTCCAACCAACTTTGCTTCAACGTTTGCCACCTTTGCTCAAGCCCAAATTCATCAGCAGTTTTGACAACAGCCTGGAGTTTGCCTGAAGGAGCTCAGCACAAGGGCACTAAATCCCATCCTCTGGCTGCGTTACAGGAGCGAGAGGAGAAGTGGGGAAGGAGGAAGGTGCTGCTGGCAGCATCTCCAGCCTCTGCAGTGAGGTGGCCCCTGCTTCCCTGCCAGCCACACACCCCCACAAGAGCTGTGCACAGACTAATCCTTCCACCGTGAACCTACCCTGGTTACAAAGCGTTTTGGGACAAGGATCTGCCCAACGAATTATGCTAAAGAAGAAAAATATTCAGATCACGTGGGCAGTTTCAGAGCCCAACTCCCTCCCTGAGCTGAGGGCGGGGATTTGGGTCCCGGGGTACCCAGACACTGAGAGCTCAGACCATCGGTGACTTCTCTTCAAACCAGAATTTAAGCTGCTGAATTCAGAATATTGTGAAATGCCACTTCTTGGCCTGCGGTTCTGCCCACTGAAGTCGGCTAAAACTTTCAGCAAATGATAGATGATTTAAAAAAACAAAAGAGCTGATGGCCAAAAATATGCAAGGGGCTTGATTAAGACCCCATGGGTGGCACCACGGGGGTTGCTGCCCAACTTTTACCAGCTTCCCCCAGCTCACCGTTACTTTAGCTTGAGCATGGAGAGAAAGGAGCTTTGCTAGAAGAGCGCAGAGATGTTTTTGGAGACCCTGCTAAAATACAGCAAGGGAAGAAGCAATCTAGTACCAGGTGTGGAGCAGAGTGATGCTGTCTTACCTTCTACACCTCGGCTCCGACCCGTCGTGCATCACACAGCGACTCCTTCACCGCTCCTCTTGCTTCTCCCGGTGCTGATCTCAAGGGTTCTTTCTCCTGTTTAATATAGAAACACAAACAAACCCACATGTAGTTAAGCAACACATTACCCAACGCCTAGAGGCATCGTGCAAGAGAGGCCTCCTATTAGCACACGGGCTGAAAACACTCCTTCCAGGCTGTCTCCAAACAGGAGAGATTCACGATGTGGTCAGCTTTAAGGCTGGAAGCTCCCATGCACTTGACAATCTGGGCTGCTGAGGGGTCTCAGAGGCTGGAGGACACTAGATGAGGCACAGGATTTGGCTCAAAGGACACCACCTTGGGTGTTTTGATACCCACAGCAATGAGGCACAACCTCAGCTCCTGCATGTTCCTTGGCAGAGGCTCCCAAAGGGAGTGCAGGACACCCATAACAAAAAGCAAACCAGCCAGAATTCCCCAAGCAAAGTTTTGAGGATCTGGACGGCTGGTCCTGAGCCACTTCCACTGTGGGAACACCAGGAAAATCAGCTCCGTGCCTGCCCTACCCCTGTTTGATGCTTTGGCTTACATGGGCAGAATGGACACCTACAGGGACAGCCAGGAAGGACATGAAAGATGCTCTTGGTTGTCCCTGTCACAACTTGATAGATTACCTTGACTCCACCAAACCTTGGCCCATCACCTGAAGCTGGGGACGAGGATACTTGGCTTTGTAAGAACCAGTACAACGTACAGCAGTGCAACTGGAGTGGTAAATGATCAGAACTCTTTACAAACGCTGCTCTCAAATCTCTCTCTCGAAACAAAACATCCTGGAAATGGGATATTTCAAACCCTTTGTAGCTAAATGGGATGAGATGGGGGTCACCAGCTCTGTGCTCCACCAGCTCAAAGCCAGCTTGCAGGCATCCTCGGCTCCCTTCACAAGAACCATTTCCACTACAACACCTGACAACTGATAGCTCTGAAGTCACACACATTTGAACATTTGCACCAGTAGCTCTGAAGTCACACACATTTGAACATTTCCCACCAAAAAAAAGATATAATAAAATCAACTACTTTGTTCTCTAAGTGCCAAGGTCAAAGGGGACCACCACAAGCCACCCAGGCTGACCTGCTGTGTGACACACCACCAGCTCCACCCGCCTCAAGCCCAGCAACTCACTATGATTTTTCATCCAGCTCTTTCCCCAGCTCAACTCCTCTCTCCAGCACCCTTCTGCTGCAAACAACTGGCTGATCTCAGCAGCTAGACATATAGGAAACCAAAATAAAATAAAATACCTTTCGCTACCCGAAGGCAAAGGCTGCAGGACCGCTGTTCAGAGGGCGATGCCTTTGCTGGAGGTGGCATTTCTTTCTGTTTCAGAACAAAAAGCCCTGAGCATCACATGCCTTCGCCCTGCTACACAGTTTTTTGGACAGCCACGGGTTTGGCAGAGTGTCCCCCCAGCCTCCCTCTTCCCACCCCTGCTCTTACTCATGCCTTCCCTACTCCCAGCCTTTCCCACAGTCCCTGCAGGGAGCCCGTGCTGGGCACCAGTGAGGAGACTGGCAGCTGCTCATAAAGGCTGCCTCTCCATCCTTCTCACTTCGGGCAGCAAAATGCTTCCCAAGTGCCTACATCTCCGGGCTGTGAAGAAGGAAGCGTCTCGTGAAGGCGGCTCTTCTCCCTCTTGGCAGGCTGCAGGACGTGGCACGTTTCCATCAGCACAAGGCTACAAGATGTTTGCAGAGAGGAGGATGAACAGCCCTGACCCCCCTCTACACCCTCGCTCCTCCCTGCATTGCAAAGCTCTTTCCAGAGTTCTCCAGAAATCCTGAGGGAAGATGTTACTCAACCCGCCGCAGCTGAGGATTTCATTTCATTTCATTTCAACATGCCCCACAAAACACACACTGGGGTGAACCCAGCATCTGTGCACAGCCCTCCCTGCCCCTCCGAGGTCTGGGAATGTTTTATCCATCACAAGCTTTGAAATGTATATTGTTTACAAAATAAAAATCCATATTGGTTAAACTATTGTGGGTTTTTTTCTTTTTTTTTTCCCAAAGTCACAAATTATTCTGGGCGCCTGAAACTCGAGGCAAAGGATCCAAGGAATCAGAGCACCTGGAAATCTTAGAATCATCAAATGGTTTGGGTGGGAAGGGACCTTAAAGACCATCCAGTTCCACCCCCTGCCCTGGGCAGGGACACCTCCCACCAGACCAGGTTGCTCCAAGCCCCCTCCAGCCTGGGCTGCCCAAATTCCCATCAGCCAAACGACCCACTCTCCCGAGAGCTTAGGTTCTTTTAAAAGTGTAATTCTAATATAAGCTCCGAAAAACATTAGGGTGCTCATGGGATAAACATTACTTTACGATAAAAGCAAAGCCCCTTCTCTAATAAACACTGTACAGCTTATAGAATGTAAAAATTACAGCGCATATTAATGACAGTGATCAGAATATTACATTAACAGCAGTAACAGTGCACCAGCACACCCTCACCTGAAAAGAAAGGCAGTTTCTCTCTCCTCCCCATCCGAGAAGCGGTGGCAAGTAGCCGTTATGACTTCATTTTATTTTTTTATTAGTTTTTACAAGCTAGCTATGCTAAAAGGTTGCACCAGCAATCTAAACTGCAGCTGTCAGCAGAAGTGAAGGACATCGCGGGATACATTTTATTCCAACTCTTTTATTGCTCGGCTCCTCGGAGTGATTCAAGCAGCTTAAGGATTTTAGAGGTACCGTCACAACAGGAGCTGCCCTTAAGCAAGCTACCACTTAAGAAATACAAAATAAAACCCAAAAACACAGCCTCTGAAGAACTGGTTGGACCAGCAAAAGCTGTTCAAGAGTCATCGCTACCAAGTCGTTCCCTCACGGGGAGGTGGACTTTCCACGATGCCATCCTCGCTTGACAGAAGGGGAGGTGGCTCCATCATGGGTGGTAAATCCTGATTTTTGCTGCTCTGCCAAAACACACAGAGGGGCTTCGTGACTGTCCCTGTCACCAGTGGGAGCCAGCAGTGCTCTGGCACACGTCTGCTGTGCCATGGCACGGCGGGTGACGCGCTGCTTCACGTCCTTCAGGCTACCATCGGTGGTGGCAGCATGCGATGGGACTCTCCATGGGATGGAGCAGAGTCTGGAGGGACTGTTGGCACGCACTGTCATTAGGCATTGAAGGAGACCTTGGGCTAATTTGCTTCTAAACAAGTCTCTCCTTTACCACCATCCCTACCCACAAAAATTAGCTCTTCTGTTAACATCTGCTGTGATTGAAACGTGGCTGCTGGCACGCGTGAGGGACCTGGCAGGGGTCCTCCAGACCTGGTCCCAGGAGATGGAGAGGAAACACCAGATATCCCCCTGCGGTGCCAGCCCCTGACGGGGACAAGCAGAGGACTGGAGAGCAACGTGGCTGGCACAGACCCAACCCAGGAAAGCCTCAAACAGCGCTGGCAGAAGGAGAAATGTTTGGAAGATTCCCGAGACAGCAGGCGTCTGCTTGCTGTCCAAGCACCACCCCGGGGTTCTGCTGGACTCTTCTCTATGGACCATCAAAAAGCCATTTCGTTTCCATCAGCTGCTCCCCTGAGCTGGAGGACCAACCCAACCGCTTCTCCCTACCAGACCAAGGGAAGAGATGCTGGTCTTCACCCTCATCCAGCTGCCCCTGAGCACCGTGGGGCTGGAGGGCAGAGAACACCCCACTGCTGGGACATCCGCTGGCTGCTCGCCCGGCAGAGGACTCACTTCCAGATCTGATTATAAAAACTAACCCGGAAAAAGGGAGGGGGACGTTATTTTGGGGGAGGGCAGAACAAACTGGGTCATTCTTGGCCAAAGCAGTGTGTTATGTTGGCCACCAGACAAGCTGTATGATTGAATCCAAGTCCTGCTTCCCCACTGCTCCGTGGGATGCTGACCTTTCCTGAGATCCCTAAGTGGTCCCACACCCCAGCAAGCCATGGAACACATCTGGACCACCTTACCCCACCTCTTGGGGTCCGAGGTGCTGCTCCCAGGCTGACAAACCTCACAGAACGCTATGGGGTTGGAAGGGACCTCTGGAGATCATCTAGTCCAACCCCCTCTGCTGGAAGGGTTTGTGCTCTCATCTGCAACTTGGTTCCTCATCCAACAGAAGGTAAAACCCAGCTGAACCCAGGTCACCCCACGCTCGGGGCAGAGGCAGAGGCAGCCTGGCCACCCGCAGATCTTGGTTACACCACCAAGTTGTGGCAAGAGCCCAACCTAACATCGCCCGAGGAATAAGTCAGCGTTACCTGGTGCCTCAAAAGTGCTTCTATGACAAAGGTGAGGTTTCTGCAGGAACCAAGGCTTTAAAGATAATTTGTTTGACCTGTGCAGACAGAAGCCTTTGAAGAGTATTAACAGCCCCAAGTAATGCCTGCACCCACAGCCTCAGCAGCTCCACTGCTGTCACCTGGGATGAAACCGTCAAACACCGCGATCCCCAGATGAGATGACAGAATGACAGAATGGTTTCAGTGGAAAGGGACCTTCAAAGGCCATCTAGTCCAACCCCCGGCCACAAGCAGGGACATCTTCAACTAGATCAGGTTGCTCCAAGCCCCATCCAACCTGATCTGGAATGTTTCCAGGGATGGGGCATTCACCACCTCTCTGGGCAACCCAGGCAAGGGTCTCACCACCCTCAGTGTAAAAAATACCTTATGTCCAACCTAACCCTACCTGCTTTCAGTTTAAAGCCACTGTCCCTTGTCCTGTCACTACAGGCCTTGTTAAAGAGTCCTTCTCTTTCTTATAAGCCACCTTTTAAGTACCAAAAGGCAGCAGCAAGGTCTCCCCTTTCTCTGCCCACTTGCTGTGGGTCCCTCCACGTCCCTCATGTGGACACGGTGCTTGAGAGCTCCACGTTTGCCAGAGCAAGAGGTAAGGACCCCCCCGTGTCAGGTAACCATGCCTTAAAGTCTGTGAAGAGAAGCAAGACTGACTTTGCAACGTGTGATCTTTTAAGCAGAGGGATGGCTCTTGTAGCTGGACTTGGAGGTTTTTAAGTTTGGCAGCTTTTTTTTTTTCTTTTTTAATGTATT